CAGCATAATGGTTAGTGCGCTGGACTCTGGCTGGAGAGGTCTGGGTTTGAGACCAAGTACTGGTCTGGCTTGGTCAAAACACAAAACACTTTATTTTTACAGTGCCTCTATCCAACCAGGAGTATGAATGGATACTGGCCAATTGTCAGGGAAGTCTGATAAAATGCTGGGGAGTAACCTAGTGATGGACCAGCATTCCATTCAGGGGGGGAGTTGTACTGATAATACTCCTTGTTGCTTCATGCTATGAAAACCCAGATAAGCTCCCACAGGATCAGGGTCACTTAGCTAGGGTAAAGAATTCATCTTTTTTCCTTTGCACTCAGGTGGAGAGAGGCATTATGAGTTGGAGTCAAGTGTGTTGCATAAGAACACAGCAACAAACAAAAATTAACAACTAATGTGGCTTATTTACCTCTTTTAGCATTTATTTCTTTAATCCTCCACACTGTCTTGAAGATTTCAAAATTGTAGTTAGGAGGTAACTGTTGTAAAAGGAATAATTACCTCAGTCAGAAAAGTAATAATTACCCTGATCTCTATATTAAGTGAAAATCTGATATATAGAAAATGAATTGTAGCTGGTTGGTTAAACTATTATGACCTGTTTTTGGGGATGACCATTTCAGAAAAATTAGTTACCCAGAACACACTCTTATAAATGCGTCACATTTCAAATACGCACAAAAACAGTACCAGAAATAAAAGTGGATGGACAACAATGGTTAATTCAGTACACAGACTGCAAAATTAGAATAAACTTGAAAAATAAGACCTGATTCTAAAATAACAATCCTACAGGCCTCAGTGATATCAAAAAGGATATAGGTTTCTGGAGAGCAACTTACAATACATTTATACTTGAGGAAGTCACATTTTATTCCTTTTTTTACCCTCAGTCTGGTGGCTGAAAATTCCCCATGATGATTCTAGTTGGATTTTATTTCACTAAATCAGTTGAAAGGGGCTTTAAATAAATTAATTTACTTTTTCAACCCTTTTACTTCCAAGATCTCATTAGTAATTCTCCTTACTGTCTGCACAACAATTATTTTGATGTTAGTTCTGAGAAGTTGGGTATTGGATCAGCTAATAATCTCAGTTTTGATATTTTTCTTTATTCTCATCACTTGTCTGCTTGATAGTGTACTGATATTGTAAGGAGAAATTCTTTCCTGGTCAGTTATGGGGTTAAAGGGTCGAGTGAACCCAGGGTCATGTGAAGTTTCTCATTATTTACCTGTTTCACAGCATCTTGCAGCTCAAGATTGTTTGCAATCTCATCTGGAATCTGACGAACAACTCTTCTCTTATTTGCTCCTATTTCTAAAATAACAGGAAATGGAGGGCATTTCAATAACAGAGGGCTAAATGAATGCTTGACTACATGTAAATTTTGTAAAAGATATCTTGTAACTTGAAAACACAGTTCAAAATTTTAAGCTAGTTTGACAATTTAAACTGGTTCAAAAAAAATGAAAGCAAAAAAATTGAACCATAACAAATAAATAATGAAGAAATTGGAGCTAAGCGAAAATCTTAATTACCATATTTTCCCCCAGGCTCAGAAACTTAGGCATCTATACCGGGTCTACGGCTGAGGATTTCGACTAGTATATTGAGTTATGTGTAACTGTGAAAGGTTACGAATAAGGCAAACCAAAACAAAACAAAAACGAATTAATTTATTGGGCTTAGGATCCATTTATAGAGTACAACATGACTGTAAAATGTTTTTTGTGTGCAGCTTCAGGGAAGAAATGCGACCGAAAAAGGAAAATAGAAGATGAAATTGCGCTAAAAATCAGTTTTAGTGTGGGAACGATTCAAATCTGTTCCTTCTCTAGCTATTCGAACGTGAACGTATGCACGTGCACAGTGAATTACGAGCCAATATCAGTTACAATTTACCTGCGAGTTTGTCAGTCGTCTGTCCAGCATTAGACTTAGTTCCGACAAATCTCCTTCTTGTGTTATTCTTGGCAGAAACTCGAGTACAACTCGCTTTGTCCTCAGACGTGCGGCTTTCCAATGCTTCGGCCATGTTAGGTAAGTATGCTTTGTTTCAACGCATACGAAATGTTTAGTGTTTATTGTTTATCCGCTGACACGAAAATGCTGATCTATCGTAGTTTATATCCCATTTCCCATTTCCCGTCTCCTATTTTCATTTTCAAGCGTATTTGTTTCGTGGAAGCTTTTCAGTAGCCCCAGCCATTCTTTTGAGGTGAGAGAGGCCGAATGGATGATTAATAAGAAGTAAAGAAGTGAAAAGTAAAGAGCGCCCCCCTCTGATCACAAGAGGCATCTAAGGGTGAAGTGAACGCATGATCGCACTTAAGATAGCTTTCCAGTAGAAGTTGGAAACACCCTGTGTAGCAAATACGAGATTTGTGCAATACGATCGGACTATTTTTAGAGTTAGCAACAAGCTTGCGTAACTGAATAAGTCAAGCCATGTTTTTAATTTGTCAAAGAATGTGTTTTTGAAGTTTGACCATCACACTTCGCAACGATAATTGATAAAACTGTACAGTAAGAATCGCTTTTACAAAGAAAATCATTATTATCTGCAAGATCCTAATCAAAAGACAAGTGTAATTCCAATATCATTTGTTATTTCCCCTTTCTTTTTCATCATTACCAAAGAAGGGATAGCCTCAACTAGATTCCACAATCCTTATTGTAAATGACCTTGGTGCCATTCTTGTAGAAAGCATTGCATTCAAGCAATTCTTAAAGGGTCAAGCAGAAATTCAAACTTTGTTTGACCAGAACACGATATCGATCGGCGTTGCAGAATCAATCAATTAATCAGAATTAAACGGAGGGGAACCCCCTTAGGAACTTGTCTGGACACACTTCATGTAAAACGTAACCAGTTACTAGCACGTTCATCTTTGTGGTTACACCACCAAAGAAAGACTTACCGATCCCTAACGAAAATAGAGTCTAGAACCTTAGTCACAAAGGATTTAAAAATTTTCCCTCGTTTACATTGTTCCTCTCAGTACCACATTTTAAAGTATCTTAAAGATGTTGATTAAACACTTTTGAATAACAGTTATTATTATTTTCAACACTGGAAATGGTAGAGGGGTTGTTATATACGCATTTCCCAAAACCATCTCTCCAAGTTCGTCAGTGTCGTTGTCATTGCACAGCAGGTCTACATCTACACCCAATAGGGAGTCCAAATCTGGAAGGGGAGAGAATTTGCTAGGACACCGGCTATAGCTATGAAGACGCATGTGGGTCTCACCTCCTAATACTGAAAAACTTATGAAAGCCTTGCAATTCTTCGCAAAGATACAAAAGATCACAGCCAATTGTACTCAAAACACTGATTTGACTTTTATTTCTTAACACAAGATGCATGGAAGTAAATTTACGTACGTGTTTTTAGATTATGTACGTTTTTAATAAAGGAATAAATAACCAATAAAATTTAAACGGTTGAACCTGCGATGGTAATCCAGATTAAGGCCCATGAAAAATTTTGGCAACAAACCTGACCAACAGAGAACGTCGCTATACGGGCTCGACATTTACAAAGTAAAATATAAGTTTCTTCATTACGTAGAACGTAGCAAAGAAAGGGAACATTGTTACAAGAACCTTCTTCTTGAATCAATCTAAATTACTAAACTATGGAAAATGATTGTATTGACTATCTGTAAGGATTTTATTCTTTTAGCGCTATGTAACTAAGCACAGTTCTAAAGTCTGAACACGTTCTAAAATCATTCCGTGCAGAATTTTTATTTTTTACTTTTTCTTTTTCGGTGTCCATCTCTTTCCTGAGGCAACTTCGGCAAACCACTCATCACTCTTATCTTCTGCCATCGCCTGGAAGAAATAATGTCAAAAAGAAAAAATAATGATCGGTAAAATCTTTCAAAACACTTGCGTATCACAGATTAGGGAAACAATTTGATGAACTTCGGCCCGCGAGAAAGCATGTGGCCTTGAGCTGCAAGAAGTCTGCAAGGACTCTGGTACTGATAATGCCTCGTTATTAGTGCCAGACCCCTGGCAAACCTCTCCATGACTCATCTCAAATCAACCCGTGGGCGGAGAAATGCTCGTCCTGCAGCGCCAATAATGAGGACCCTGCTCACAGGCTAACTAGATGCGAGAACACTTTACAAAGTTCAAAACTTACGTTCTCGGCAGTAGAACACTTTTAGTTATTTTTCCCTTAACCCGTGGCTAACGGTGTTTGATGATTTCAACGCAATTGATTTGCCGAGTTCGACATGTACCTCTAAAACACGACAAATAACTAACTCACTGTATCAAGAAGTTCGTCTCCTTTTGGATCCACTGTTGACAACTCTATAAATGCTTCATCGCCAACAAAACAAATTTCATGTCCATCCTGAAATGAAAGGTAAAACATCACATATAAATTTGAAGGTAGTACCAACGTTTTAACCAACAGATTGTCTGAGCAATGCACCTTGATGAATTTCCTATAGAGTGAAGGAGGAGGAAGGCATCATATTTATTTTCCAACAGGTATGCCCTACCTAAACCCACAATGCTCTCAGTTTCATGTACCATTTTTCTGAAACCATAACATCTTTTTCCTAAACTATGATTTTGCGCTGTACGGCAAAGGGCAAGACAGAACGGAGGGAGCTCTCACATCTGAACAAAAGATGAACTTCATTTTGTTTTTGCACTTTGTTTTTATGATGACCATTTAAAAAATGGATATGCATCGCAAGTCTTTAGCTAAATGCATCAAGACACGGGGCTTGGAAATCTTTGAAAGCTAATAAAAAATAAAGAAATATGTTTTTCGTCTTGTCACGAGCGTGGGACAAAGAAAAAATTCTGAGTCCCCATGAGGAATCGAACCTAAGACCTGCAAATTCCGTGCTCCGATGCTTTACCACTGAGCCACAGAGACTCTATGGTGAGCGAGGTCCATTACGAAGTTCATATGACACGCGTCCTGCTTACTACTAAGATCAGCCGTAAAAAAAAAAGCAATAAAAAAAATTATCATTCTTAACAAGCGATCAGAGTTTCTGTTGTTCTTCACATATTTAGCAATCTCAAACCCTTTTACGACTAGTTCCAGACCAGTTAAAATGGCTGCCATAAAACAAACCACCACATGCAAGGTTGTCTTATCTGTTATTCATAAAAGAAATGCTTGTAGAGATACAGTAGAGATCCCTGTGTCAAAAGAAGGATTTTGTTTAATTGATAAGCAACTTAAACTAACTTTTCCGTAAAGTAACTTTTTATAAAGCTTACTGTAGCAGAATCAGCCAATACAACCGCTTTCACTAATGACCAGATAATATGGTTCTTATCAACTGAGTCGATAATGTAAATTCAGGTCTCCGTAAAGAGATTCTAAATCTGATGTTTCGAGCGTTTGCCCTTTGTCAGAGAAAATAGAAGAATTGAAGGTTGTGTGTGGTTTACATGCAGAAAAATGGAGCTAAGCCACATGTGAGTATGGCAACGTGAAAATTACAAGAATAAATAAGTTGAAAAAAAAAAGCGCTCGTTAATAACGTGAGGATTTGTTGGCTGTAGAGTTTTTCATCTTTCTTGTAGCACCACAGTTTCTTTAGAAACGTACCCTCTTTATTCATTAAAAATAGCTATCCAAGACCTTTTGATTACTTACTATGAATCCACAGTTTATTTCTAACCTGAAAAATTTATCCACTACGGGTGGGCCAGTGGCCCCAAATCGAGATATGTCCAGAAATGCATGAAATAACGAAACTAGTGAGAGTTCGTCGGAAATCGTCAAATCCACCAAGCTGATTTCGCTTTGACGAATTTGACTAAAGTCTGCCGCAATAGTCAAATCAATGAACATTCACATGGTTCGAAGAAATTTCGTCAACTAATCATTCTGTACAGCTGTAATCGGACAGTGTAATAGGACAGTTGGCTTTAATCGGACAGTTGAAGCAACCAATCATAATAAGTCCACTCAGCCAAATCCACCAATCACAGAATAAATCCCAATAACCATAGCAACAACCACTTATCCTAAAAAAAACTGAGGAATTTCCAAAATGGAGAAATTTTTTACTTTCGACATCGTCTCTACCAGAGATATTTGACCTAAATGTATTTGTTTTCGAAAATTGTAACGGTTATGATTGATTGCTAACAGGACTTCAAATTCTTGTCGTCCAAATCTGTCTGTAATTGAACTCGTGATTGAAAAATTTGACTCCTGCTTTGCGCTCGTCCAATTTTGTTAATCACTCGTTTGATTACAGATAGAATTGGACTCCGTACGGTCCTATTACCATTAGTAATCACGCACCATGTATAAACCCTTTGTCATCCTCTATATCGGGAGCGCAAGAACTAAGCATGAATGATGGTGCATTTGGCCGATCCATCTCTATTTTCTGGACTGACTAGGTGATGGGTTCCCTTGAGTTGGTAAATAAATGTAAATTGGCCTCCCTGACGAATTTTCTAAAGCTGCCGTTTCGAGCATTAGCTCTTCGTCAGAGGCAATATATAGATAGTGCCCTTCTTCCTCTACAACCTACCGGATCAGCTAAGATAACCACTTCCACTGTGGCCTTTCCTGGCGTGTCCAAACTGACAAGTGGTGTAAGTATTGTATGACCTTCATTTTTCACTAAAGATTCAATCTCTGGCAACTGTTTACTTGGACATGAGAAAGCAATGCGTCCAAATGCGGCTGCATGATCAACTGGGTGTCCAAGGTGAATAAGTTCAAGCTTACACTTGTCTGAATCATAGCCTAACAATGCTGTTGTCTCTGTCTTTTCGTACAGTGTCATCCCCAATAAATTTTGCCAGTATAGTAAAGATTTGGCAAGGTCTGAAACTCCAAGGGAAACTTTTTTTACTGGATCTGTTGAAGAAAAAATAGAAAAGGGTTTATAAATTATACTTCTTCGGCAGACCTTTTACCTGGCTCTGTAAGTATAATGCTAATAGCTGTCTATCACAAATTCCTCGATCTGATTAGTCATACTACTCTTTTCTGTGATACTCAGAGAATTAAGTGAGAATCCTTACAATGTGTGCTTGTAAAACCAATCAAATTAAAACATAA